GGATCCATGATCTCACAGCGGCTTGCTCTCCCACGACTAGAAGACCTCTGCCTTTTCTAGTACCAACTCTTTGCTTAATCATAAACACTGCATTTATTGCCGACGACGCATCACAGATTGTACTCGCTGCGCCCTTTACTGCAATTTGTTGTAATTACACCGTATACAGCAAGTAGAACACGCTTCAAGTAGTCCAACAAAAAGTCCTTCTTCTTCCAAAGTTTTCTTTCCTTCTTCGATTGCACGGCGCAATGAATGATCAACACAACGGGTGTTGAGCGCTAGCCTAAACCAGACCCGTAGCTCCAGCCTGTCGATATGCGACTTGATTTTCTCGCAGGTATCAATAAGTGGCTTTTCTTGTGATGTAGAATAAACATCTTTCCTTTTTAGCATTACACGTCAAGAAAATGATCTTTTTCAATTTTGCATTTATAAAGTGTTCCTATGCTAGAAACGGCTTTATAATCTGCATTTTGTAGAAGACCACTTTTCATCTTCCTCACAAATCTTGCACCGACTGTTCATCTTTGTTGCAATTATGGTCAGTTTCCTTCTGTCAGTTTCATTTTCTTTCGTGCTTATCCCCTCATTACTGTCTCGGTTCATGTATCACGTTCTGTGAAAAACATGCAGATTGCCACGCTGTGAAGATAAATTTCCAAAACAAAAGATCATACACATTAGAGAGACGTTTCACAGGCGCCATTTCTGACTTTTGAATTTGAACTACTTTGTTTCAAAACTACTTCTTCCTTCAAAACTACTTCTTCCCAAAAACAACTATACAGTACTTCTTTATCTTGTTTCCACAAAACTACGACGAATCTTGATACGATCACTAGTACATGCTACTTACTTCCAACTTGAGAGTCCACAGGTCCTCCTGATCCGCGTCCCGCACGATGGTTCCGTACACAAAGAGGCTCGGCGCATTGGGCACCAGAAACACTTGCTTAATAAAGTTGGCGTCGGAAATACCAGATCATTCCAAAAGTGTGAACAAGTTGAAACGCCTGCAGGATGTATTTTTGGCCCCGCTAGATACTACTTGAGTCATCCCCGAAGTGGTGTTTTGCTTATGGGGTTGCTAGTGTCTTGAGTTCATCATCCGTGCCAACAATACGCAACTTGAGAGTCCACAGGTCATCCCGATCCGCGTCCAGCTCGATGTGTCCTTTGACAATGAGGCTCGGCGCATTGGGCAGAAACGCTTTCTTTTCAAAGTTGGCGTCGAAAAAGGCACGCCCCAGCTTGTCCTTGTCGGCGTCGGAAAGCGGCACGCCCCCGGTCTGAACGCGGAACGTGCTGCACCACACCGATCTTTCGCCCAGGAGCTGGAGTTCTACCACGGTTCCGAACGAATTGCTCCCGTCATCGCGCGGAAAAACGCCGGAAGAGTCTCGCAATTCATCGCGCACCAGCGCCTTTTCCAAGAGATGCAGAAAATGCCGAAAGCTGTCATCCAAGAGCGGGGGGGCAGCCGCGTCTCCAGCGTTATTTGCTCTTCCAACATTGTTCGTCTCCATGGAGGTGCTGTCCGGGGTGGTTCTACGGACCACATCAGGCTCGACGTAGGACAGCAGCTGCGTCGCGAAACCCATCTGCGGTGGCGGGTTGCTCGAGATCACATTGCGAAAACGGCGACTAGCACAGCGAATCGGGCGCTTCTGCTTCTGCTGCTCGGGGTGAAGCAGTAGCTCTAGCTGGTAAAAACGATTCCAGGAGTGCTCCTTCAGATGCGTAATTGTTGCGGGTTCTTGGATGTTTCCATTACCGTCTCTCCCGGATGGGTCGCATTGGATATGTTCCTTCGAAGCCAGGGCGTCAAAGATGGCGTGCAGGGCAGGCTCTCGACGAAGATACGAATCAACACTGGCCGCTATAAAGTCCTGGTCTAGAGGAACCGCGGCAAAGCACGGGCCTGTGAGACAGAAAATGCTGAAGAGCAACGATCGCACAGACATCATTGTGTGCGCTTTGATGCTAGAAAGGTTGCTGATGGTTGGCGCGTTCTGGCTCGTCAAGAAAAATGCTTACCTGCACCAATCACGACA